TCAGATTTGTATTAATACAATGGATTTTTAAATACAATATTTGACAATAAAAGGATGATGATTTTATACATTTTTCTTTCATTTATACATTTTTCTTTCATTCCTTACTACACCGAAAAGAAAAACCTCAATAAAGAAATATACTTAGATACTAATTCCCATGGCATAATTACAGAAGGTACAACAAAGCTACCCCCTAAATACATTTTTTATACCCTCCACCAAAAAAAGTATGGAGGGTATATTAAGTTCGTCATTCCGTTTGTAACTAATCGAAATAATCATTTTAGACCCAACAAAGTATATATATTCTTGATCAGCGTAAAATTCTTAGACGATTTAGCCCCGTCCGTCTGTTGTAATCACGCTACAGTCTAAACGAATTAAGATAGAAAGCTAAAATTTTGCACAGATCTCTCTTTTGTCTGCAGGCAGGTCAAGTTTGAAGATGGGCTATATCGGTCCACGATATCGTATAGCCCCCATATAACGGTACCCCAACGGTATTCGGTATTTTGATGATTTTAGCCACATTTTTCAATGGAATTGTCTGAAATTCCACAAAAGGAGTCCCTTGTGGACATTTTACCCCCTCAAAAAGAATTGTCTATATAGGTCCACGATATCGTATATCCCCCATATAACTGAACCCACCGATATTCATTATTTTGATGATGTTAGCCACATTTTTCAATGGAATTGTCTTAAAATCCACACAAGTAGTTCCTTGTGAGTACTTTACCCCCTGAGAGAGAATTGTCTATACAGGTCCACGATATCGTATATCCCCCATATAACGGTACCCCCCCGATATTCGGTATTTTGATGATTTTACCCACATTTTTCATCGGAATTGTCTGAAAATCCACACAAGGAGTTCCTTGTGGGTACTTTATACCTCGGCAGAAAATTATCTATATAGGTCCACGATATCGTATAGCCCTCATATAACGGTACCCCCGATATTCGGTATTTTGATGCTTTTAGCCATAGTTTTCAACGGAATGGTCACAAGGGGTTCTTTGTACACAAGGGGTTCTTTGTCAGCACTTTACCCCTGAAACGGAGTTGTCTACATAGGTCCACAATATTGTATATCCCCCATATAACGGTACTCCCCTTTATTCGGTATTTTGATGATTTTAGCCACTTTTTCCAATGGAATTATCTGAAAATCCACACTTTACACGAAGACATAGATTTGTCTTTATAGGTCCAAAATATCGTATATCCCCCCAAATCGGCACCTTCCAATATTAGATATTTTAAAGATTTTAAAAGAATTTTTAATGGATTTTATTTTTATTTTATTTATTTTTTTTTTTTTTTTGAAAATTTTTCTAATTCGTTCCAAATGGTGGAGGGTATTCAAAGTTCGGCCCGGCCGAACTTACTACTTTTTTACTTGTTTCTTTTATTTTTATTATTCTGTCAAAACATATACACATTTTGTGTATGTGTGTGTATTGTTCTGAATAAAAGATACAATAATTTGAAATTATTTGAAATTCGGTTGCAAAATAAATGCAAATTTTAGACGAAATGGTTAAGAAATTGTACAATTTAGTGATACAACTTTTTTATACCCTCCACCATGGGTAGGAGGGTATATTAACTTTGTCATTCCGTTTGTAACACCTCTAAATATTCGTCGTAGACCCCATAAAGTATATATATTCATAATCAGCATAAAATTCTAAGACGATTTAGCGATGTCCGTCTGTCTGTCTGTCTGTCTGTCTGTCCGTCTGTCTGTCTGTTGAAATCACGATAGAGCCCACATTATTTGACGTAGACCTTTGAAATTTGGCACAAGTGTGTGTATTGTCCCTAGGATGGTTGGTATTGAAAATGAGATATATCGGTCCACGTTCTGGTATAGTCCCCATATAACGGTACCTCCCGATATTCGGTATTTTGATGATTTATGCCACATTTTTTCACGGATTTATCTGAAAATTGGTATTTGTAGATCATGACGGGTCCCTGAGCGTGTGGCAAAACATTGCATGTATAGGTCCACGTTTTGGTATAGCTCCCATATAACGGTACCTACCGATATTCGGTATTTTGATGATTTATGCCACATTTTTTCACGGATTTGTCCGAAAATTGGTATTTGTAGGTCATGACGGGTCCCTGAGCGTGTGGCAAAACATTGCATGTATAGGTCCACGTTTTGGTATAGCCCCCATATAACGGTACCTACCGATATTCGGTATTTTGATGATTTATGCCACATTTTTTCACGGATTTGTCTGAAAATTGGTATTTGTAGGTCACAACGGGTCCCTGAGCGTGTAGCAAAACATTGCATGTATAGGTCCACGTTCTGGTATAGTCCCCATATAACGGTACCTCCCGATATTCGGTATTTTGATGATTTATGCCACATTTTTTCACTGATTTGTGTAAAAGTTGGTATTTGTGGGTCATAATGGGTCCTAGGTCGTGTGGCGAAACATTGTAATTATAGGTGCACGTGTTGGTGTAGCCCCTATATAACGGTACCTCCCGATATTCGCATTTTAATGTTTTTTGCCACATTTTTTCTAATGTTCTTTTACCCTAGGGTGGAGGGTATTAAAAGTTTGGCCCGGCCGAACTTAATGTTTTTTTACTTGTTTCCTACTATTTTAGATTCAATCTTGAAATTCCAGTCCTTTTTTCCGGGGTTCTTCCCAATTAAAGAATTTTACTAAAAAAAAATAAAAATAAACAAAGCCAACTGTTACATATTTAAAAGTCTATTTGACACTATAAGACTCCAGCACAGAGTTGTATTTTTCTAGTTTCTTTGAAGTTGATCAACTTTTCTTGTTGAGCCATGAATCTAACTATGTACCTTAACATTTTGAAAGAATGTTTGCCTTGGCGAAGATTATAATTTTGATCAAGACAGTGATCCGAAACACAAGGCTTATTAAGTGCGGTCCTGGCTGCTATATAATTGTCTCCACGTCACGGATACACCAGCCCAGAGTCCAGACATAAACCCCATGGAGAAAAAGAATGCATACAAAACAATAATGAATAGAAATACTCATGGCTCGATTAGAAAGGTTATTTAACTTCAAAAAACTAGGAAAAATACAACCCTATGCAACAACTGCTTTTGTTTATTTTATATTTTTTTTTTGTTCTTACAAAATTCTTATATTGGGGAAAAATTAAAAAACATGAAAGTTGGGGTTATTCCGATAGAAGAGAAATACAGTTTCATTACAAAATTGTACAATTTGTTGTCCATTAATGTCGAAAATATGCATTTCTATTGTACCTGAATTTAAAAACAAATCTCAATGTTTTTTTTTTTTTTTTTTTTTTTTTTTTGTTTTTATTCAAATCAATACATACGCAAACTGTGTAAATTTTTTGACAAGATAAGTACACAAAGGAAGAAAATTGTATTTAGGAGGTAGCTTTGCTCTATCTTCTGTAAATATACCACGGAAGTTTTTTAAATTGTACGAAGTGTGCGAATTTGGCTTTGACATTGAAATATGATCTCTTTTAATATTTATTTATTTTTTTACTTTAAATGAATTAAAATGTTACGTTTTTTTGTTTTTTAAATTACTTACATAGTGTACTAATAAAATGTAAAAAAAAGTTGTAAATTTTGATTTTTAGAAGTTATAAAAAAAATTAAAATGTATCTTTAGCTGTACGAGTTTCGCTTGGAGCTACTGTATTAGTTTGAGTATGATATGCTGTCAAATGTAACATTTTGGAAAAACAACATATTATTGCACAAGATTACCTTTTAAAATCTGCCACAGGTTCTTCGATATACAGCATATATATTAATTTGATTTATAACGGCGTTAGCTAAAATTTGTAGCATACACAAATATTCAACTTCACGCCCAAAATATAAATTTTCAATACACAAAAAGGCAACTGTCAATGGTAAAATTGCTCAACTTTGTAATTTCCATGGTAGAAGAATATAGGTAGACGCGTCGACACAGCTGCTGGGACAATGAACTGTCAAACCAATTTTGGTATTGAAAATGTTGAATGAAAAATTATTTATATTTGTAAAAATTGTTGAAAATCGCGAATTATAACAGCCTCCGAATGACGTAGTATAAGAAAACATATAAAAATCCACTTATATTTGAAAAAACATTTAAATTTTTTTGACATATCAATGCTTCCAAGCGTTGATGCATCTACCTGTATTCTTCTGCCATGGAAATTTCGTACGCCCAACGTATTTGAATAACTCTCATATAAATACGTGTTTAAATTATTGGTGTGAAAAACGTCGACCGAATACGTTGAATTTTAAGTAACACTGTGAAATCTCTTAAATGGCTTCAATAAGGTCGTAGAAGGGATTTGTATTTCATTTTCTCAATTCTATCATGGTAAAATTAAGAAGGTAAGGTAATTTCAAATAAGCATTCCCATCTTTTCAGTTTCTGTAATTTAGATTGCTAAATTTCACTGCATGGAAAGCTGGTCGTCATCTCTTATTTGCCAAAGGAATAATTTTGAAAAAAAAATGTAAACTTATGATTGCATGACTTTACCTTCTTAATTCTACCATGAATACAGGTAGATGCATCAACGCTTGGAGCATTGATATGTCAAAAAAATTTAAATGTTTTTTTCAAATATAAGTAGATTTTTATATTTTTTTCTTACACCACGTCATTTGGAGGCTATTATAATTCGCGTTTTTCAACAATTTTTACAAATTTAAATAATTTTTCATTAAACATTTTCAATTCCAAAATTGGTTTGATAGTTCATTGTCCCAGCAGCTGTGTCGACGCGTCTACATGTATTCTTCTACCATGCATGAATTCTATACTAACAACCCCGTAGTTCAATGAGCACAACTGCTGATGCGTTGACATAAAAGAAGCACCCTGTCTCTTTTTATCTACAACTAATACATACGCTTTTCAACACTGAACACAGCAAAAGCATATGGAAAAGCTGTTTTTGTTTGCCACAAAAAGCTTTGCTGAAAGAGATAACTGCGACGCTTATTTTTAGTTGATATTTTCCAGCAATTCAAAGCAGTCGTATCGTCTCCAGTCTGGTTGCGCTCGCCATCATTAGATAAGGAGTGGATATAAATTTCCATTTTTTTGTTTGGATATTCGATTGAAATACAAGAACACGTTAATTCCGTAGAATTGTGAAATTCGAGTTTAGTTGTCGCCTTTGTTCTCATCCCCAGAACAATGAATAGTTTGTGTGGTTTTCGTTTGTCCACTGTGGGCATTGTAATCGGTTGGTTCAATTTAATTGGTTCCATATTCTCAACAATTGTACTGTGTGTGGCCTTTTCCCGTTTGGATGATTTGGTCAAACTTATACAGGATAACCTGGACAATGGCGCAAATGCAGTCGATAATGTTGGCATCAGGACCGGTAAGTCAACGACCTGGGCATTATCTTGGAATGCCATGTAAATATTTGCATTATTCGTTCTTTTCTCCTCCATTGCAGCTGTTATTATTACCCTGTGCGTTTATCTTACTACCAGTGTGACCAATGTAATTGCATCGTCGCTCTTGATTGTGGGCACAGTAAAGGTAAGTCGTTTATTTATTTTTTGATGATGGGACGTGCGCATAACAAGAAAAAATATGAAATTTAATATCTTAAGAACTTGAGTATGTGATTTTGTTTTGCTGTCTTGGTATTTCATCAAATTTTGATATGCGCAATTTTTTTTTACGACTTTAATCTTCGTCTGTTGTTCTGGTTAGCAATTCAGTGGTTTCAGCTGAACAACGCAGGGGTATACATATTTACGACGCACTCAGACATTGTAACAAATTGCGAAAATATGTTACCGCACTGCAGTGGAGAGCTATAAAAATAGTTCAATCCGTTGATATTCCATAAAGATATAGAGGGGTTATTACAAGGCACTTAAGCATGGGGTTTCTGAATTAGAAATTGGAATGATAATGAACAATTATTATCGTCGATGCATTTATTACTTAGGATAGTTATTTTTATTTCGTGATTATGTATTAAAATTTTATATTTTCATTACATTTAACAAAAAAGCATTAGGGGCATAATGTGTATAATGCCCACTATTGAACGATTTTGGGTGTCCCGACGGCAAAATAAAATTAACTTTCGTTTCGTTTGTAATGGGCAAGTGACGTTATCATCCTGGTGGTCATTTGTCTTGACATTATTGCGATTCATAATTCGTAGGGCATCAGGAGTTGTAACCACGAAATGTCAATACATATTTCTCACTGACAATATAGTCCGTTTTTCAATGAAAGACATATTCCGATGTAGAAAAAACAACTAAGACAAATAAACGATTTCGAATCGGCAATAAAAACAAAGCTGTTTGAGATCTTTTAAAAGTTGACTGAATTGGTTCTATGAAGAAGTTTGATGTCTTCAAAAATCGAAATACTTTGGATTCGATGCTGCACAACTGCGTATGCTTATGAAAAATCTTGAATAATAAGAAGCGAACTTCTAAGACATCATCCTAGAATGAGTGATTGCAAAGTAAAGCGCGAATGTTCCACTGATGAGCTATCTACGACCATAGGTAGGTGCTAGACCTTTTTTTGATTGTCCCTGATGATTTTCTTTTTACAATAATTTATAAATCTTATCCCGAAGATAATTCTTAAGAATAATTTGAAAGACTATTGATGTTATTTCTAGAATTTGCAGGACTACAATATTGGTATCAACAACGGCTACGGCACCCTAAGTTTTTTTTCTAAATTCGAACTTTTAATTATTCTATATCGGCTTGGTTGGTTTTTAGTTTGGGTTTATTGAAGACCTCATAGCTACTACTACTTCACTCGGATTTCTTTGGTCCATTGTGTTTAGATGCAATTACTTTCAGGATGGCGCAGTCGTCTCAATTCGTATTGGGCACGTATTGACGAAGATGTGCGAAACGTCTACCCGGCGTGTGATACGAAATTAGTCATATTTATTTTAGAAAATATCTGATCTGCGATGTTATCATTATTTGATTTATAGCCTGTTCAGCAAACACAAACAAAACGAAGTGCCAAAGTAAACAATCAAAAAATATCAATCGTTCATTTACAAAATGTAAACAAAGTAAAATATTGTGTTTGAAAATGGATATTTCGCCCAAAAAGGTATGGTCAATTTCATCCGCTGTGCTGTGTTGATCCCAAAAGATGCGCTTCTTCGCTTTTCCAAACTCTAAACCCACGTAAAATTAGGCGCCAATTGGCAACGTTCACACTTCCTTATACCTTTTTATACCCTACACCACAAGGTGGTCAGGGTATTATGTCTTTGTGCATTTGTTTGTAACAGGCAAAAGGAAACGAGATAGACCCATAGTTCCTTTTGATGATCTGCATAGAATCACTTTCTGAGTTGATTTATGCATGTCAGTCCGTCTGTCCATGTATTCTTGTGAACAAAATGCAGGTCGCATTTATTATCCGATTGAGATGAAACTTTGCAAAAAACATTTGTTTGGTCCAAGGACGAACCCTATTGAAATTGGAGATAATCGGTAAAAATTTAGATATAGCTCCCATATATATCTTCGTCCGATTTGCCTTTTATTGTGCACCAAACGTGTAATATCAGCCCGAATAGTATGAAATTAGGCCTGAAAATAAGTATGCCAAATTTAATCGAAATCGGTTCAGATATAGCTATAGCTCCCATATATATTGTTCATCCGATTTGTTATTTTTGTCCTCCGCAGCCGTAATATGCACTCTGTAACAACAATATTTGGGGAAATATATCAAATGCAGCTCAGAAATACCTTTGCTAAATTTTATCGAGATCGGTTCAGATTTGGATATAGCTCGCATATATAACTTCGTCTGATTTACCTTTTATTGTGCACCAAACGCCTAATATTTGGAATGGAATTTGGCACATACGACCGAATTTAGTCTAGAAGGTAGTATGCCAAATTTGGTGAAGATCGGTTCAGATATAGCTATAGCTCCCATATATATTATTCATCCGATTTGTTGTATTTGTTACCTACCTTTATCTGATTTCAAATTAATTTGGGCAATACACGTCCGAATTTAAAAGATACAAATGCTTTGGCATATTTAGTGCTTTGAATTTTAAATTATAATTATAATCATAGCGTGTATGATTGAATTCTCCCATAAAAACTTTTAATTATTAAGTGGAGCTCAACTAAATTAGCAAAGTGGTGTAGGGTATCATAAAATCGGCCCCGCCCGACTTTAGGACTTTCTTTACTGGTTTTTTATTAAATTTCCTGCCTTATCATTTATTTGCATTTTTATTGTTATCTTATTGACATGGAAATAATTGGTAAATCTTATTTTTTTAACAATTATTTTCTTTCATTATTTCAGGAACGTCACCTTTTGCTGGCACCTTGGCTAGTTAATGCCTACATTTTCATCTTTTTCAATGTCCTCAACTTCATATACATGATATATGTAGCTATTGCTAAGGGGCTTCCAGTCGGTTCAACTCTGGGCACAATAATTGGTACTGCATTAAGTCTGGGTAAGTAGTAACAAGTAAAAAAGCTGTAAATTCGGCCGGGCCGATCTTTGAATACTCTCCACCATTTGGTAAAAATTTGGCATAATGTAGCTAAAATCATCAAAATACCGAATATAGGGAGGTACCATGGGAGTTATAAAACATGGATCTGCAAAGACAATTTTTGGTATAGGTTGTAGTATCCATCACGAACCTCAAATACAAAACTTGAAACAATTCCGGTAAATAATGTCGCTAAAATCATCAAAATACCGAATATCGGGGGGTACCGTTATATGGGGGCTATACGAAGATGTGGACACACATGGCCCATTTTCTGTCTTATGCTGTAGTATCTGTTACAAACTTCAAATACCAATTTTGAAATTCCGGTAAATAATATCGCTTAAATCATGAAAATATCGCATATAGGGAGGTACCGTTATATGAGGTCTATACGAAGACGTGGACCTACATGGCCCATTTTCAATACCGAAAGTCCTGCAGACACAATACACATTTTAGTAAATTTTTATCAACTCACTTCATTTCGTTCGAAAGCTAGAGTAATTTCCACAGACGGATAGACGGACGGACATTGCTAAATTGACATAGAATTCTATGCTGATCAAGAATATATATACTTTGTGAGGTCTAAAATCTGTTCGAGGTGTTACAAACGGAATGACAAACTTAATATACCCTCCATACTATGCTGGAGGGTATAAGAACGAAAAAATAAACAACCAATGAGTCATCATTATTATCGGCGTGGTTATCAATCATGCATGTTGAGCTTGTAAAGTATGCAGGGCAATGTGTTTTTTAATCAATTGTTTTTTCCTACGAATTTATTTGCTGTTACAAACAATTATTTATTTGCGGTGATTTACCCATTTTTTTTTTTAATTTTATTATTATCTTCAATATTTGCATGTGAATGAACAGCAAAATCTGCAATGGCAAGTAACTAGTTTATTTATGGATGCTAGTGAGTTTAGACAGACGGATTTTTCTCTGATTCTTGTTTGAACAACTAAGAATTACCTAGTCTTACAAATTGGATGGAAAGTGTAGTGTTTTTCAGGCACATGTTTTTCAGGCAGAAGAATTGATGGAGGGTGAAATAACTCAATCGGTGACTATTTATGTGGATAGTCAAGTGGCTCTTAAAGCTACTGAATCTTATACAATAAATTTCGATGCATACCACTCTCGGGTAACTGTCCGTTGCAATATTGAGGGAAAGAGAATGGCAATGATGGATTCGCAGTCACCAAGCCTTGAGGTCGCCGACATCTTAAAACCTTCTCTTTGTCATTTGACAAAAGCACTAAAACTACTATTTAAAAAGAAAGCCAAAATATGCAACGAACCACGGTGCAAGGTATCAAAACAAATCTGGTAAGATATCTCCTTACGTAGAACACAATCTCTATTAAGTATGAATGAATTAACGATAAACGAACGGATAACGGTAGAAGTAATAACAGGTCATCCCTACATCTGATCAATAAAGTCTACATGAGATTATTCTAATGTCGAATATTGCAGCCTTTGTGAGGATTAGGAAGAGAATGAATCTATTGAACACCCATTATGACACTACCCTGCTCTATTCAGGGAAATACTACGAGATATGGGGGAACATTGGACTCATGATATCAGTGTGCATTCAGGCACAGATCCCATAGTCATCTGTAACTTCTCAAAAATTCTACAGAAAATCTGTGATTTATTTTATGGCATGGGTAAGAACCCGACTATCAGAATAAAGCTATGTACCATAAAAATCAATATGATTGGAAAACTTATGATCTCTACTACAGTTTAGAATTTACTTTATTGTGTTGTATGAAGAAATTAAGTATATCGTTATTAAAAAAGATTGAATTTATCCAAAAAGCATTGTCATGTTGTTAACAAAACATGTACAACACGCTTCTTATCTGTATTGCTTTTGTTTGTATGACTCAAGGCTCACACCATGACACTAATACTTTTTTTTTATTTCTTTTCTGTAGATAACTCTAAATTAATATTTTATTCTAATTACAATACAATTGTTTTTCTTTTGCAGTGATTCAACTGATTATCTGGAATGCTATCTATTCGTTGTTCAAACAGATTCGTGCCAATCGTGATCTTCAACAACGTCTTTTGCCTACCACTTCGGCTGCTCAATATCCCAACTACACGAAAATGCCACCCACCGTCGAATAGGCAAGAGGATGAACCATTCGTGATACATGAAAAAATATTAAGAAATTTCTGAAACAATCTACAATTATGGACTGATTAAAACTGTATCAATGATAAATGAAATTTTATCGAAAATTTTGCTTGGATAAAGATAAAGTCTTGGATTATCCTACCTTCTTCCCACAGTATTGGAATCTAAATTTTGATTATCAAATTTTCGGCTATCAAAATCATATGTGATGTTTTTTATTATTATTATTATAATTAATGAATATTATTATCTCTATACATATATACGTATTATATCCCGCCAAAGATATATGTTATTGAAATATTTATATACGAAAAAAATACTTTATAAAAACAAATCTATATGTATACACCGAATTTTTTCGAAATAAAATTATTCGACTTGTAGTTACCTATGACAAAACAAGCAAACTAATTTTTAAGTGATTTTAAAGAAGAAACATTTCAGAGCAACAGTATAGCGAATTACTTCGATGATCTATTTAGTAAGCAAAACGAAACATTTGCGATTTTAGAAAAGAATTACGATCGAATATGTAGACATTTTTATAGAAACTAAAAATGATTGAGGAATGATTTCTAGCAAATAGTGCCACTGCCAAGAAAGTTAGCAGAGTTCATGCCATGGATCGTCTTGCGGAAATCACAAAAATGTTTGATTGCTTATAAAAAGGTAAGACTGAAAATAAGTAAAAACTAGTTAAAAGTGTGTCGGATTTGCCGACAGATGTATACCCTCACACAATGTTCGATTATTTCAATACAGTGTGAGATAAAAAAACTGGAACAAAGTCAAGCGTATTTTGGCCCATTCCCGCCGAAGCGTTTGCTTGAGGTGATCGACACTTTGGTATTTTTTGTGCCAACCTTGCTTTCCAAAATACTCCAGACGAACTGGTATTTGGAGATTTTTGTGGCCATTGTGCCCTAAAAATGAAGCGAAGAACCTCATTTTGTAACCATTTGGGTGGCGCGTGCTGAGTGCAATGGTGCTGAGTCCTGTGGGGATGTCCAAGGTCTGCGGCCAAAATGTTTGCGAGCCCAAGGCTTTAATACACATTGCAGAATATGTTCGCGATAATATTCGGCATTTATTCTGATGCCACAGTCGATTAATACGAGCAGAGAGCGACCATAGGCTGTTATGACGGCCCACACCATCACCATGGCCGGCGCTTGAGTTCTGGAGGCCAACCGAAGGTGCACATTTTCAGCCGACCTCTTTGGCAAGTTAACACGATAATTTTGTTTGTTTACAAACTGCTGGACAAAGAATGTTTTCTCATGTTTTCTCATCGGCAGTTCACCACTTTCGGCAAAGCGAAGCAACTCTTTAGCTCTTTTGAGTCTATTTTCTTTCAGTTGCTGTGTAAGTTCTTGCCCTTTTTGGAATATCAATGGCTTTACCCCGAGCTTATTTTTCAATATTTGCCAAATGGAATATTGAGATATGTTCAGCTCAAGAGCCATTTTTCGGCCACTGCGACGCAGGTTTCGATCAAGTCGCTTTACTTTTCGAATCATTTCTGCTGATGTTGCTATTTTCTTCCGTCCACTTCCTTGACATCGGACTACGCTACCAGTATCACGGTAACGAGTGATGGTCGAGACAAAAGATTTATTCACATTTAAATGATGGAGTGCTCTAACGATATCCACTTGTGGTTTTCCAGCCAAATATAAAGAAATCACACTATCACGCCTGAATTCCATCACGAATAACTTTTTTTCTTGAAAATTCTTAACAAAATGCTTTTGTAGGCTTGTAAACTATATAATGAGCTGTCACTGGAATAATTTTAACAGCTGTCGGATGAGTGACTTAGGTCTGCGGTTGGTTGCCGTTTTTTCTTCTCACCCTGTATATTTCGACTTCTGTTATAAATATTCCTACCCTCTATGGGGTAGGTTCCGAAGGAAGGGGCCAATATTGTCCATTGGGTATCGGATCGAGGTTTTGACTATATTGATTACATCCAAGAAGAAAATGTTAAAATATGAGTGAGGTTCCAGATAAAGTCGCCTAAGCATTCCATTTTCATACTTCATCTAATAGAGATAAAAATATTGGTTTGTGGAACATTACAAGAAAATCGAACATTTATATCGAATTTTATGAGAAGTCCTTAATTCCTTATTCATAACACGTTTTTGGTTGAGAGAAATATTTAGGTTTAGCAAGTTGTAAAGAATCTTTGACTTGTTTCGCAAGTTATGACAGATAAAAGTGTTGAAAATTGTGACCCTTTGTGGGTGTGGCCAGAGGGGTTCATATAATCTTTACAACAGATCTTGTATTGGCAAAAATGTTTGAATGTGTGAAATTTGAAGAGAGTTGGATGCTTATATCGCTTTCTTTATGTGTTTTGTTTTTCAAAATCTTTAACTCTATGTGGGGGAGGTACCTGAAAAAAAATTGTCCGATCTCTATCGAAATGTTAATTTTTCGTCTTATGAGATTCATGGATATAGAAAATGTTGTCCTTTTGTCCTCCAGAAGGAGTGGGCCTATATTTCGAATTTTCACAGCAGATCTTGCAAAAATAATAGAATGTGTGAAATATGAAGAAAACCTGATACTTATTTCGGATTTTATATTCGTTTTGGTTATTCAAAACTTTGACCCTTTGTGGGGGAGGTGCCAGAAGGAATGGTCCGATCTCTACCGTCTTTATAACAGAACTTGTGTTGATAGCGATAATGAAATGTGCCAATGAATGGAATCGGATGTTAATTTTGGTTTTATGAGCTGCATGGGTATTCAAAAATTTGACCCCTTTTTGTGAGAGGATCCCGAAGGAGTGGAACGATATATTCCATCTTCACACCAAATCTTTATGAACATTATTGTTATAATTGATTGATATGTTATAATAGATCAGATACTCACATTTTAAAGGATTTTTAAATCTGCTGTTTCTTAGTGATGCACAAGGTGAGATTGCAGCAGTAATTCTGCACAGCATTTATTTTTTTAATTTCCCGATAAGTAAGCATTTGCGGGTACAAAACAATATAATCCCTTATATTAAATAACACATTTGTATTTCTCAATGTGCAAAACAATGCTGATGTTACAACATCAACTAGTTTGCATTTCAATTTATGATGTGATTGTGTCAAGTCTGGCATGGTCGGTTCCGCCTACCATAACATTTTTTCGTTGTTTATATAAGAGGCACATACAGCGCATTTTATATTATTTCAAGGATCTTCTGTAAGAAGCAAAAGTCCTGGGTAAAACTTGAACGCAAATGAATGTCGGTTTATTAAGGTCATAGCGACCTACAATGGATTATCATAAAATGAATGCAAGATTTCCAATAAAAAAACGTAATCACTCATATAAAGTGTCGTGCAATGTTACTGGAAAACATTTATTCATACCCTTAAGGTATATCTGCTTTAGCGAAATTTGAGCACTTGCAGGGTATTTATTCTTCAATGTTTCAATATAAATGGTGGTATTACACCCAGATTAGGCTTGCAAAAAGTGAAATTCTTATACTCTTCAACACTTTCTTCTAAGTAAATTGGTGGACCAAGATAGTACCGACGTACCGGCTATCCAGATCTGCATAAGTTTGCCGGAAACAGATTCATGGATAGGAGTCTCCCCAAATAGGTGTTCTATCTAAAAAATCTTATATTTATATAGAAATATGTTCTATAAAAAGAGTAGCTCTCAAAAGTTTCCCCGTCTATGGAAAATCTCTCACAGTGGGACTTTGTCCTTTAGGAAGATATGTTAGGTTGATTCTTTCTGTATATGTTTTTTTATACCGATTGCCTTTGGAGAAAGTTGTAGAGCGAGGGAAATTATATACTACTACTAGCAAGCTAAAATTAGAGACGGCTAATTTATACATCACGTTGGAGTCAGGGGCTAATCAAAAAAAAAAAAAAAAAATGTAGATGGCAATAGAATCGTGAACGTTCATTTTAGAGAGTCCATAAATTAGAAACAAACATAAATTACAATCAATCGTACAAACATTTTCCTCTTTATAGATATAGAAAGGAGAAAGAATGTTCAAAAAAATTGTAAATCTTCAAACAGAACGAAATAATTGTAAAGTAAACAACAAATCCCTTTTTTTATTTTCTCACTAAACACGTAATTTATTAGTTAATTTGTTTCACATACATTTGTTTTGTTGTTGTTGTAATGGATTGTTCTTAAATAACTTAGTTCAAAGATTTTTCGCGACATGCATTCATTGCTAAAATAAATAAAACAGCACACTTTATTCCTTTTGTTGTTGTATCCTTAAAATATTTAATTAAAATATTACACAAAATGGAAGTAAGAACTGTCAATAATGTTTGGGTTTGTTTGTATCGTGTTCGTCGTTTCCGGAGGAAGAGGAGGGTTCTACTTTGTTTTTTTTTTTCTTAACAACAGTTACATTAATGAGAGGACTGACATCAAGGCATTCGTTGTCAACAGTTTGTATTTATTTTTGACGTTTTGAATTGTTGTTGTTGTTGAGATAGATATCAAAACGTCACAAAGTTGAGTAGGAGGAGGATGAGGTAAGGTGAAGGGGAGCCGCCTAACCACCACCAAATTGTATATAACATCATCATGTGGAACGGTTGCTATTTACCCAAACCGATCCACATGTAGTTGGGATCAATGAAATTCGAACCATGTGCCCACTGCCCATGAGGATTCATTTCGACGAGAGAACGTATCTTCTGCGATGGTCTGTAGAAACGTATCGCCTTTATCCATTCGGCAGCTTGATCTGTGTTGCCCTCCGGGTCGTGCAGATGATGATGTAAATCACCAAATGTGGGATCACCCTCTAAGAGTTTTTGTTCCTCCGACGACCATTGATATTTCTCGCTGAATTGCAAATTTTTGGAGAGATCACGAAAAAATTTGCCCAAATTAACCATGGAACCTGTAAATGGAAACAGATGAAAAGATAATTTATGAGATGAAAGTATGAGCAAATATTTTACATCTATAAAAGTTCATATTCTATATAGGAATATGAATGAGGTCTTTAGAAGAGTATTTGTCTAAAGAACACAATTGGTGTGTACAGTACCCCGGTGTGAGAATTCGTACATATTGTACAAAATCGTACAAAATATTCGATAGTCTAAAAGCCCAATGAATAAAACGAGTGGAGACAGTAATATTGACACTTGAGTAACTGAGAGTTTGAAAATTTAGTTCCAGTTTCATTCGTTTTTTACTAAAATTTGCTCGATTTTACTGAATGTTGTTCGCTAACTTCTTGCAATGGGTCAGTATTGTCCATTTCATATGAGACCTAAATAAATATGATATAAATATTGCGACGTGCCAGGTTGGTACTATATCGACTACTTCCTTCACTTTATAGGAAATATGTGACAATTTTTAGAAAATGTGCTTGAGGTCCCAATCATAGTCG